TAAGATATAAAACCTTTTCCAATTATGTAAAAAGTTTTCATTAAGTTTAATAAAGATAAGAGCATAGTCTCACCTTTGAAATTAAAAAAAAAAAAAAATTATTATGATCAATTTGAAAATAAACTCTCGCAGTTTACTGAGCTGATGGTAAAAACCAACGCCACATGTAGTAATAGGCTAACGATGCTAAAAATAAGTGATTCTTGATTATGAAGAATCAAATTCTTCTCAATAGATCATGGTGTATAACAATCAAATTTTTAGTATCTGTAAACTATTGCTAGCCACATATATTTAGAAACAGATTACTTATAATACATGCAATAATTTTAAGTAATTAAAGACTATCTACAATTTTTATGAAGTCATTGCATGGGTAATATGTCATTGGCAAATTAAAAAATTAATTGATACACTAACTTCATAAAATAAGATAAGATACATAATAATTAAAATAAATAAAAGTTGCTTTGTACATTATATAAGTGGGACAAATATTAGGTGTTGTTACTGTCAAATTAATTTAAAAAAAAAATATTAGCTGTGAATCATGTAGCAAAAATCAAATTACTAAGCATTTATTTATCATTTAAAATAACTTAATTATGTAATCAACTATTGAAAGCATGTGTGACCAGAATCAGTTGGGCTTTTTCTGAAAAGTTGTCCATTAATTATAAAAGGTTGATTTTTTACAAAATCAAAAGTAAAAAAAAAATTTAAATAAAAAGCAAACAATAAAAAAATTATATACTACACTCTTTCATATATGTTTTTAGTACTAGATTTTTATTATTAAAATGCAAATGTTTTTAAATATATCAAAATTCAATAAAAAGCCATTATATTCAGATGCAGATACCTTGTATCAATATTTTATGAATGCTTTTGCTTATAATCAAATAGTTATAACTATGAATCCATCCATCACTATTAAAACCTAAATTAGTCGAAGAAGGAATAAAAAATGGTGTGAAATTAGAAAAAAAAAATATAACAGTATTCAAGAAGAAATACGAACTCTTTTAAATACTTCAATTCCATTACAATCAATCAGATTCAGAGCAAATTCTAGTAAATCATCTCAACCAAGTTCAGTGTCTACCCTGCTTTTTTCTACCATTTCAACTTTTAAAGAGTATGAAATATATCCCAATGCTGCTACTCAAAAAGCTTCATATGAAAAAATCGAAACAGCAAAGAATAAGATTATTAAATTTGAATCCCTATACAATATTGCTTCAGATATTAGTATTAGGAGTGATCTTTTTGCTAGAATACAAGATCAAAAAAATATTATCAAAACAAATGATAAAAAAATTGAAGCACTTAAATGACATGCAGCCAATTAAGCTCAGATGATGGCTAAAAAACAAAAACAACTTGAAGAAGAAGGCATTATCGAACAATAGAAGAGTACTACAAGACCGACAATTCTTGCACAAAACCCAGACTTTCTTGAACAAATTCATAATTGCATTGAATTTGGTGAAAAAAGAAACTTGAAGAAAAATATAACTTTTATATTAGTAGACAAACTCTGTTAATCTACTTTTGGCCTAAACATCTGAATACTCTTTCAGCGAAATAGTACCACCATCCCGCATTAATACAAATTCAATCTGTATTATGAAATGAAAAATCTGATTATCCAGATAGTCATTATTGTCTCGCTTCGTAAAAAGTGCTAGATATTTACTGCAACTTTTCATAATCATTACATAATAATATCCCAAGATGATAAGTCAAAGGTTCTTTTGGGAATTCTAGCAGTTGGGCGAATATTTAAATCAATTGAAACAATAAATAAACCTATTTATTACTTAACTATGATTTTCCCTTGGGCAGCAAAATAAAATTGATTCCATTCATGTATCTTTTAATTAATCCAAATGATACAAATGATAATTATCATTTAGAACACCTTTCAATTTACATTCAACCCAAATATTTCATAAGTACAACTGTATTGACATATATAGCTGATTTGATTTCAATAATGAATTTGAAAGAATATAATGAAGTTACCCATATAGAAGAAAAAATTAAGCCATTGTGGGTTTTATTAGTTGATAGTAGGCCAGATAAAAATCTAAAACATTTAAAAAATATATTAGAGTATTATAAACTTTTTTATTTTGTAGACTTTGATTACTTAACTATCCGTACTTATACACCTGGTCAGTTTTCTTTTAATTCTGTAGAAAGAAGCATGGCGCCTCTTTCATCTAAGTTAGCTAGAATCATATTGCCTATAGATAATTTTGGTACTTATCTCAATTCTCAGAAAAAAGCTATTAATGAAAAATTAGCAAAAAAAATTTTCCATTTTTCAGGTATAATTCAAAAATATAAAACCTAATTTACTTATATTAATCATATATAATGCAAGATTATAATATTCATAACATAATTCTATTCCTAGAAAAAAAGCTTTGTGATATTTGGCAACATGATCAAAGCCATAGAAGGTTTGTTAAAACTATATATATAGATACACACATTGATATGTTTAAAGAAGAAGAAGAAGTTTCATAGCAATAGATCAAAGACTACTGTTAAATTTGCTGCTATTTGCTTGATATTCGTAAATATAGCAATATAAATTGTTGTAAGCTATTCTGCATACCTGAAGCAACTACTTTATTGCAGAAAAGCAATGAATTCTTACCTCCAATGATTAAAGAATGTAATTAACATTTTTTAAATCCAATTCACATTCTTGAATACTTTGATCGAGTTAAAATTCCATTCTATAACAAATACTATCTAACTATTTCAGAGGAAATATATCAACATTTGTGTTGTTCAAAATGTGGAAAGTATTTTTCTACCTTGACTTTTGTTTAAAAACATAAACAGTCTCAACACACTGCTTGTAAATATCAAAATTCTAATTCAGCAACACTTGAGTTTATATACTCTCAATCCTATGTGCTTATAGAACTATGTGCTTAAAGAAATTAATTTTGAACATAGCTTTTCTGAGACTGAATTGCTTAGATAAAGGTAAGAATAACTTGAATGAATAATTATAAGTACATATTCTATTATTATTGCTAGATACTAATTGAGAAATATAAAACATAATCTAGAAACAGAAATAGCATTGTCAAACTCTCATTTATTTAAATCTATACTCCCATAAACATGACTGATTTAAGTTCTTTTAATTTTTTAACTAAGAAAACCAATACTGTTGGTAGATTAGATTAAAAGCTGTTTCATAATATATAGATTCTGCCGGGCAAGAATGCACAAAGAAGTGAATAAGAAAGCAGTTTCTAGTGTTATAAAAAGTATGATTAATAAAAGAATATATTTAAATTTTAAAAGTTATATATCTTTGTAGTTACTGATTATTCTCAGATATAAGATCAAATTTGTCGTGATCAATTTAAGTATTGTATTATTGAAGATCTTGTATATGTGCGCAGTGTGTATATATAATTTATATATACATATATACGTTCTATTTTTTAAAAAATATAAAAGACTTTGATATTATTAAAGTTAATAGTTTTAAATATAGTATATGTATAACTTATATCAGATACATATAACTTATTACGTTATCAGGTATGTTGTAAGAGGAAAAGATCATTACCAAGGTAACTCGATATAATTTTTGCTCGATTTGTTTGGTAAATCTACCAAATCTGCTATATATGGCAGAAATAAGCATGGTGGACATTTGTTTTAATTGGTTAAAAAATGTAAATAAAAAAGTAAACAAATAAACAATATGCACAATGCAGATCATTATACTAGGAACCGGGAACCAGTGTGAGTCCAAAGCTTTAAATTTTAAGAGGAAAGATGCTTAATTTTGAAATTTTGATCAAAAATTCAAAATTAAGCATCTTTTCTCTTAAAATTAAAATTATAAGGTAAACGTATGCCATATGATGTAATTTTAAGTGTAGAACCAGTTTACTTAGAGTATGAAGGTAGATTTAATTAATACAATTTTGTGAATTTTGATATTTTCTATAATTTTATTAATAAAATTATAAAAATATTGTGATTATTAAATTATTTCGTAGTAAATCTCTTTTCAACGTATATGTATAGTTGTAGAGGAGAGTCTTGCGATCAAAATGGTGGTTAAAACTTTAAAATTGGCTCAGTAGATCGCAAGATATAAGTATTTTAGTCTTCATGACTATATGCTTTCTTCTTTATTTATATAAAGAAGAAAACATATAATCGCGAAGACAAAAATACTTATATCTCACGATCTACTGGGCCAATTTTAACGTTTTAACCACCATTTTGATCGCAAAACTCTCCTCTACAACCTTTATTAGAAGTTGAAAAAGGTGTATATAGTAAAGAAAAACATTTCAGTTGAAAATCTCCAAATTCAAAAATTTTACTATTCAAACTCAAATAGTTTGACAAACTTCAAATCAAACCCAAATCAAACTTACAATTAAGTTTGAGTTTGATTTGAGTTTGAAAATTTGTAAAAATTTAATGTTTGAGTTTGGTTTGATTTCAAATCAAACTCAAACTCAAACTTATCAAATCAAACTTCAGAATCCTACTTTTAGTTTTTTGGTTTAGTTTTGCTATATTAAACTAGTCTTTTTGTTTATTATATAGTTTTTTTTTGTTTTATTATTTAGTTTTTTTTTAATTATTATTATTTTTTTTGTATTATTTAGTTTTTTAACTTTTTTTTCAAACCTTCTCTTCTTATTCTTCTCTTAATAAATTTCTTGTTAGTTAAAGAAATACAAAAAAGAGAAAAAACTATTATAATATAACAATTAGGCTAGTTTAATATAGCCTTCAATAACTCTTTCCAACAATTACCTGGACCAAAATTTCCCACCAAATGAAAAACAAAAATTTTTTGGAGAGGAGAAGACAGCACTATGGGGCAGTTTTTGTAAAGGTCAATCTTTTACTCCAGAGACTCCTTTGCATATTCGGCATACAAACCAGAAGTGTTAGAAAACAAGATAATTGGCAAGAGTTGGCATTCTTGCTTTTAAAATTCTGAAAAAAAAATGCTCATAAGAAGTTGGGGCCTTTTTGTTGATGAAGTAACTCGTAACGCAAAAGAATAGAATAGAAGGAGAACAACAAATAGGTTTTTCTAATGACACTCCCTGGAAATTTGGAGGCTTTCCTTGGAATAACATACATCATAGCTTGGTTTGAAAGGAGCCTTAATGTGAAACATGGGAAAATGGACCTATTATAGGCACAGCACTTGTCGTTTAGAGGTAGTTCTCATACGTTACCTGCTGACAAGCTCAAAGTTTATCACTCACTAAAAAAACTTAGTACTGTGCAGGCTTGGATAGACATTTCTTTGATATTTCCTCTTGATTTTTTTATCTTCCTCTTGCTTTTGCCATTCTCTTCAAAATTTTTGAAAAAAAGTAGGCATTTGGGCTTACCCTCTCACAAAGATTGGCAATGTTTACACCTTCCTAATTCGGATATACTCAGTAAAATGCAACTACATGTTTGTTTTGTTTATTAATATAGTGCTATGGTATGGGAAAGAGATTGGTACTCCATTTAGAAGATACTTGAGTTTCATTAGTACTCAGAACAAGTCCTCTATGATAAGGTGACATCTTACAATTGAGATATATTAATTAGTTGCAATTATTATATAATTTTTATCCTTATGCCTGGCACAGGCTATAATAGTGTGTCATAGCTATTTTTCTTTTTTTTCGCTTTTTTCATCTTGGTTCATTTATGTTAGACTATTTTAAAATTTGTTGAAAAGTTTTTTTTCTCACCGTGAGGTGTTTTTTTTTCTAAAATATTTATGTTTCTCATAAACATAGCATTATTTTTTTCACTTTTATATATAAATAAGAGTTTTAATTTTGTTGTCGGGCTTAGGTGGAAGAAGTCTGAAAGAAGAGAGAGGTAGTCATGACGGGCAGTAGATACCATTTGTTAAGAGCCAGGTCATATTCAATTGCAGAAGAGGTCCAGAAGGAGAAGAATCCTACTATAGCAGGTCGAATATAGGTACTTATTGAGCAACCAGGTTAGTTTTTACTTGTAATTTAGGTATAGTTGTGTGGCTCTTGGGCACAGCATATGTTGTTCAGAGATAGTTCTCATACACTATCTGCCGACATGTTCAGAGTTTATCACTTACCAATAAGTCTCTCTAAAATTTTAATAATCTAGATAATTATTACAAAGTTTAATAAAGTAAAGCCATGACTGCCAAATTGTTATAATATAGCCTCTAAGGGAAGTGCAGAAAATTACATAATATTTGTCTCTTAAGAGGCCATACACCCTTCCCCCTATGTGATAGATAATTGGCCAATCAAATTTCATTATTTAATTA